GTGATATTTCAGTTTTTCCTTTTTATTAAATTTACAGACATTTCTAAAATTCTGTTTTCACTTTGTCATTCTGGGGTACTGAGTGTAGATTAATCAGGAAAAAATGAATTTGAACAATTGTAGTATCAGGCTGCAACATAACAAAATTGAAAAAAGTGAAGGGGGTCTGAATACTTTCTGAATGCACTATAACAAAATTGAAAAAAGTGAAGGGGGTCTGAATACTTTCTGAATGCACTATAACAAAATTGAAAAAAGTGAAGGGGGTCTGAATACTTTCTGAATGCACTATAACAAAATTGAAAAAAGTGAAGGGGGTCTGAATACTTTCTGAATGCACTGTATGTTGAAAAAATGTTTTATTCAGAAGAAATTCATTCATGTAAAGAATCCAACCTAGGCACAAGTTAAGCATCTTATTCAGAAACCAAAAATAAAAAGTGAGTGAGTGGACTTGGTTTCTAGTTGCAGTTGTTTTATATGGTGGAACATTTGAGTTATAGAATCATAGGATTAGAAGGGAACTTAGAAGAATTCTAGTTCATCCCCCTGTCCAGGGCAGGAATCTTTGTACCATTATAAACATGGCTGTCCAATGTTTGCTTGCAAACCTCCAGTGATGAAGCATCCACTGTTTCAGAAGGAAGGCTGTCTACTGCTTAATAGTTCTCACTGTCATAAAATTCCTTCTTATTTAGAGTTTGGATTTCCTTCTGTAAAGTTGCCACCTGTTGGTTGTTGTCCTATCCTTGGGAGCTGTGAAATAATGTATCCCAAGCTCAAAAACTTGTAACAGCCATTCTGAGCTCAGGACATATTGTAACTCTGTTTTGTTTGCTAATAATAACATTGGGCAAGATTCAGACAATTTCTCATGTGAATTGAAGATCTACTTATTTCCCTCCCCTTTTAGCTGCACCTTTCCCATGCCATATTTTATTCTATTCTGGGAGATGTTTTGATCTTCCAGGATAAGCTTTGGGGAGAGAATAACAAAAGAGACTGTAAGGAGGAAGAAGCAGGGAAGCCCTGATCAGTAAATACATTCCCTTCAACTCCTATCTGTTATCTGCATTGATATGGTGGATGGCAAGCAGTGGTTGTACACCTGCTGTAATTCTTCTGTGTTACCCATATATCTGCATTCTCACATTGTGTTAAGCCATACTTGGTTTTAACAGTGCTTAGTTGAACAAGCCATCAACAATTAGTGTCTTAATGCTAGCATATTGAAAAGAATGAAACTAATAGTTATAGTCTACATCGATATTCAAAATGAAAACTTCTGTTGATCTTAGTGGACTTGCAAAAAATGTGCATATGAATGTAGCTTTAAAGAATTATTGCCCTTTTAGAATCTTCTGCATTTGTGTTTTAGGAAGACAAGCTTCTACTAGAAAGTCAGCTTATACTGGCAACAGCAGAACCTCTGTGTCTAGATCCATCAATTGCTGTTACATGCACAACAAACCAACTTTTGTATAATAAACAGAAAATGAATACTCGCCCAATGAAACGGTACTGGAAAATATTTATCTTTAGAAGATCTTTGTAAAAATCTGCTTTATGTTTTAGTGGAAAAAAGAATGTTGATTGCATTCAAGTTAAGTAACTTTTAAAACCCATACAGTAACCTAGAACATTGAATACAAATATATTTCAGGAAAAAAGCCTTTGGATGGAGTCCAATACAGTTGTAATATAAGTGACTTCAAAGTGAATTACACAGCAGCTTTACAACTGCATTATTAAATCATTATTTGGGTGAATGCAAGCTTGTATAAATGTGTTCCAGAATATTAGTTTTCTTTCCACTAATCTTTGCAATATCTTATAGATGTTTCAAGAGATATTCCAGGTCATCTCTGAATCATCAGCAGGATGTGTCTCAAAGCACTATTCCACCACAGTTCAAGCTGTTTGATTATTTACAAAAAAGAAAGGAGAGGAGAGGAAGCCAGCAGTATGATCTCAAAATTTGCAAAGCTGGAAATGTATGCTTATTAAAAAAAACTTTTAAAGTAAATTTGTGAAATGCATTTATCCTGATGGCCGTTTATATATTTTTGTCTTTCTATTAGTGTGTTGATATGTGGAAACAGAATCCCTGCTATTTGACTGCACCATCTGAAGTAGATGTAAGTTTACAGATTTACTAATCTTTCTTTCTATCATTCAAGCTGGTGAAGAGGTCTAGGTGAAATCCTAAGCCTGCTTGCTATATTGTGCCATTTTGATTTGTTCTAATAAAAGCATTGCCTAATTATGGATTACTTAGCCATTATTTAAAATATTTATTGTATCTAGAGATGAAGGATTCTTTTGATAATGTCTATAAATTTGTCATGACAGTTATGATTTTCTGGGAACGTTATATCCTCCCTATTTCTAAAGATCTACATAATTACAAGTAACCTAAAAAAACCCTCATTATAATCATGTATAATCAACTGGTTAATTCAGGACAGATAATCTTTCAGATTGAAAGGACCAGCTAGAATAGGGCTGAGTGTCTTTTGGGCTCCAACGGAATTATCTGAAGAACTGTTTGTTTAGATTGCTTTAAAATAGGTAGTATGATGATAGTTTTAAAAAATAACTATGTAATATTATTACTTATTTACTTCGCACCTTATTCAAGTGTTGCTTTTATCCACTTGCACTTTAATTCAATTTTCATATATATCAAGGTGGAAAAATATGCTAAAGTGGAAAAATCCATCAAATCTGATGACTCACAACCAAGTGTCTGGCCGATTCATGTGAGTAATAGATTTTTAGTTGATTTCCAATAACTATTTCTTTAGAAAAAAAGGGAACATAATAAACAGTTTGTTCATGATTGTGTTTAGGTGGCTAAAAAAGAATTCTAAAGACTGTTTTCAATTATTATTCATTAAAAGAGAAAAATGATCTTGTGAATTATTCAAGTGTGCAACTTCTTAGCACTGGAAGGTAATTACATAGGTGCTGCTATTGATTGTGTGAATAAACCAGTTTATTGTGTTCAGGACTAGATTGCCTCTGAACTATAGGTGCTGTACAGTCAAAGAATATGTGATTGGTTGTCCAACAATGGTCAAGTGTGTTTCAGATATTAATGTTTAAAGGAGTAAATAAGATGAAGATTAATTGATGTTATTGTTTTACAATAACAGCCATCATTTTTAACATGTATTAACATTTATTAAATAACATCAGTTATTGTTTTTTTCTTTGGTATGCATGAACATAGTATCATGGAATCATAGCTTTGGGAGGGACCTTGGATGTCTTCTAGTCCAATACCCTAAACAAGACAGGAATCCTTAGACTGTCCCAGACAAATGGCTGTTCAACTTTTGTTTGAAAACCTCTAGTGATGGAGCACCCACAGCTCCAGGAGGCTACTTAATATCTATTTCGGACTCAGGAAATTCTTCCTTATTTCAAGTTTGCATTTTTCTCTCTAAAGCTTCCATCTGCTGGTTCTTGTCTTGCCCTTGGGCACTGTGGAGTATAAGCCCATACTCTCTTCTCTGTGACAGCCCTTCAAGTTTTGGAAGACTGCCCCTTAGCCTTTTCTTCTTTAGTCTAGACATACTAAGTTCTTTTAACTGTTCTTCATAGCCTTCAAGTTCCTCACCATCTTTATTGCTGTTCTCTGCACTCTTTCCATTTCCTCAGAATCCTTCATGTATTGTGGCAATCAAAACTCTACATGGTATTCCAGGTGCAGTGTAGTATTCCAGTATGACCAGTGCAGCACAGAGCAGATCTCAACATTATTCCTCTATTGATCTTGCCCCCAAGATTGTATTGGCTCTTTTGGCAGTTGCAGCATATTGCTGGCTCATACTTAATCTGTAGTCTACAAGGACACTCAGATCCTTCTCACAAATATGACAGCTGAACCAAGTACCGCTATCTTGTACATCTGATTTTCCTATCTAAATCCAGAACCCTACATTTCTTGCCATTGAATTGCATTTTGTTGGAAAAGGCCAAATGTTCAAGTCTCTCAAGATCCTTTTGAATGTTTCTCCATTAAGAACCACTTGTTAGGTATGGTTGTTCAAACAACTTCAAATCCATCTGGTAGTGGTATTGCCCATCCCAAATTGTTCCATTTTTATCAAGAAAGAGGTTATGGTCAGTTACTGAAGTCTAGGTACACTATATCCACAGCATTCCCTTAGTTTACTGATTTAGTCACTTTGTCAAAAAAAAAAAAAAAAAAGGCAATAAGAATAGTCTAGCATGACCTATTTTTAGCAAACCCATGTTTGGTTCTAGTCATCACTCTGGTTCTTTCTAAGTGCTTGCAAACCCACTAAGTGCTTGATGACATTTTCTAGGATTCCCCAAATATTGATGTCAATATTCTTTAATTTTCTGGGTCCACTTTTTCCCCTTTTTTAAAAGATTGGAACAATGTTACTAGCGGTCCTCGACTTATGACGGCTATCGGGACCGGAATTTCTATCAGTAAGCAATGCAGTTGTAAAGCACGAACGCATTGCTTAACGATGGCAATCCCCGCAGTCCCGGTTGCTGTTGTTAACTGAATCCCACAGTTGTAAAGTAGGCAACTTCCTGCTGGCTTCCCACAACCAAAGTCAGTGGGAAAGCTGGCAGGAAGTTGCAAGTCCCAGGCCCACAGGCAGGTAAGTGGCTGCTGTTGCGGGGGGAGGGTGCAAGGGAGTGGGGGAGGGTGTGTATGAGAGGAACTGTGTGGGTCAGGGAGGGTGTGTGAGAGGCACCACACAGGTCAGGGAGGATGCATGAGGGTCCATGAGAGGTGCCACGCAGGTAGGGGAGAATGCATGAGGGTGCACAAGAGGCAAGGCACCATGCACGGGGAGGGTGCATGAGAGGTACCACATGAGTTTGGGAGGAGGTACATGGGTGCGTGGGTGCGTGAGAGGTACTGCATAGATTGGGGAGGGTGTGTGCAAGAGGTGCTGCACAGGTAGTGGAAAGTGTGTGGGGGTGCAACATTGGTCAGGGAGGATGCGCAAGAGGCACCACTCAGGTTGGGGAGGATGCAGTGCAGTGCAGGTCAGTGAGGGAATATGGTGGTGTGTGATTGGCCAGCATGGCACGAGCGCAGAGGGGCTGTGGGAAGGTGCGTGGGTGGAGGAGACTTACCCAAGCAATTTGTCATCTTCCCTGCCAGCTTCCCCTTTGACTTTCTGGGGAAGCCAGCATGGAAGGTTGCAAATGGCAATCATGATTGCAGGGCGCTTGGCAACTGGTTGTAAGTGCAGACAGGTTGCCAAGCACCCAGATTGTGATTACATGACCACGGGGATTCTGAGACAGCCACAACTTTGAGGACTGGTCATAAGTCTCCTTTTTTAGCACCGTCATAACTTCGAATGGTCACTGAACAAATGGCCATAAGTCAAGGGCTACCTGTAGCCTCTGTCCACTGTTTTGGCACTTGCTTGTACTCAAGGAGTTCTCAAAGATTATACTTAATGTTTCTGACATCACATCCACAAATTCCTTTAGCACCCTGGGATATAATTCATCTGGCCCTGGTGATTTGGATGCACTTCCTTCCCAATTTTGACCTGCATTTTTCTTCTCCCCTCACTCTCCATGGTGTACCTTGTAATAGATTGGACCACTTTTTCTTTTTGTAAAAAGACAAATGCAAAATAAGAATTAAGCAGTTCAGCCTTCTCCTTGCAACTTGTCCATCACCATCTTGCCCTCTCCTCCAACCAATGGGCTGATCATTTTCTTGACTTTCCTGCATATACCCAAATAAGTCTTTTTTGTTATTTTTGGCATTTGTTGCAAGACTCAGCTCATCCTGAGTCTTAGCCCTTTTGGCGCTGTCCTTACAGATTTAGGCTATTTCGTGATATTCTATTTTTATTATATGCTTCTCTTTCCATTTTTTAAACTTGTCTTTTTATTGGTTTATTGGAGAGCTCCTTATGTAACCATGCTGGTTAGTTCTCTCCCATTTTTCTTTGTCTTTTTTGTGCCTTAACTATCTGATTTTTCATGATTTCCCAAACCTCCTGAACTCCCTTAGCTTATTGAAGTCAGCTCTCTTCAAATCTGGAAGTCCAGTATAGTTGATCGTCTGGTTCCCTCCTCTACCTTTTGGTCAATGAAGTTGTCTGCAACGCACATAAATAATTTGTTGGGTCTCCTTCTGACTGTAGAGTTTGATTCTCATTTGATATTGGTGTAGTTGAAATAACCGATTACCATAGTGGTGTGTTTCCTTGGACACCTTGCCATGTGCTTTGCAAAAAATACATTATATCTTTTCCTTGGTTGGTTGGCCTGTAATATACACCAGAACAATGTCATTGTTGTTTCTTTTTTCTCCTGGATGTTTTTGGCAGGGTTTTAACCCTCAATGTCACAAATTTTCATATAGGTGTAGTCATTCTTTAAGTATAATGCAACTCCCCTTTTCCATTTTGTTGGGTCTGATTCTGTGGAACAAATTATATCCTTTTAGTACTATATTCCAATCATGGGTTCCCTCCCACCAGGTCTCAGTAATGCCAACAATGTCATATTTCCCACTCTGCACTAGGACTTCAAATTCTGCCTGTTTGTTCCCCATACTCTGAGCATTGTTGTATAGACCTCTGAACACCAATGGATGGGGTTAATTATTCTAACCATGCTCAAGAAGCAGGAAATCTTTTTTCTGTCTCCTTTATGATTGTGTTCCTCCCAGTTTAGTTTCTTGCTTAGCTCAAGTTGCACTCTTCTCTTTTTTTAAAAAAAATCCTATTAACTAACACTTTTTACTAGATATGTGCAAAAAACAGAAAGCATTTTTTTTTTGAGGTGGGAAAAAAACAACACCGCTTGAAAGGCTCTGTCAAGACAAGGTTCAAAGTGATGGATCAGCTGCTGTTCCCCAAGATTATGTGGGATGATAATCTATGCTGAGTGCTACCTACCACCCAAATTGCAGAAAAGTTGGCCAAGGGGATGATTTTGTTACCTAGGCTGCAGCTCTTCTTCCTGTCTTTCAAGGTTATTCTTACAGCCCATTACACTCATAGATAATCAGGTTGGGAGGCATGTAGGGCCTTAAAGGTAACAACCAGCACCTTGAATCATACCTAGAAGCTATCTGGCAACCAGTGCAGCTCCTGAAGGAACAGGATCATCTTAGTAAACCAGAATATACTCATCACTGCTCAAGCCAGTGTGATACAGCTGTTTTCTGTATTTGGTATAGTTTCTGAATGTTGTTCCAGGACAGCCTCATGTACTGTAGAGCACATTACAGTAATCAAATAGTTATGACTGCGATCAAGGCCTCCCAATACAGGAATAGCAGTTGGTATACCAAATGCTCCTGTGTGACTGTCACATTGAGCAGGAGCTGTGAGTCTAGGAGGCCCCCCAAATTATCAACCACCTCTGAATGGGGGAGTACAACTCCATTCAGAATCAAAGATGATATTTCTCCAGAGTTGTTAGAACCATAAACCCAAAGGCATTCCATCATGGAAGGATTCAGTCTGAGGCAGTTCCTCCCCATTCAGATCCTGACAGCCTCCAAGCACTTCTACCGCATCATTTGTTCAGGTTGGGATCAAGATGTAACATTGAGTATCATGAGGATACTAAACCCCGTGCCAAACTTCCCCAATGGTTTAAAGAGAAGCAGGGAGAGGAAGAGCACTGAGGCACCCCAAAAACTAGAGGTCTCCAGGTGAATCTCTCCTCTCCCCCTAATTTGAATTGCCTCTTCAGGAAGGAGAATTGCTGCAAGACAGTGTCTCCACTCCAATCCTCAGAGATGGCTCAGAAGGAAGCTATATATGATGGGATTGGATGCTGTTGAGAGATCAAGTACATCCACTTCTCATTTAGTGGTGACCTTGTTTAGCAACCATTTGCAAATACAACAGTAATTAAAAAAATCATTTTCTAACCAATGCACACATTTATGGCTAAATGACAACAAAAGCCTTCTTAAGTTCTGGTCAACTTCAGGCAGCAGCATGAGCTAGCCTGAGGTTTCTAATCAACTAATTAAGATCACAGAGCTGAGCTTCTTAACTTGTGGTTAGAACTTTTTAGGGAAGCACTGTCTGTGGAGAAAAGCAGCTCAGGAGGAGATGGCTTGTTTAAGCAATCTCTCTGCCCTGCAAGGAGGCAAAAAAAAAACCCAACACAGGTCAGGCACAGGACACAGTAGGAAAGAACTTTATCTGACAACCACTGATCTTTGCAGCATCTCTCTCTCTCCCAGTCATGTGTTCACTTAGTGACCATTTTGCTTCTGATTTAAGGAAAGGATTGTGGTCGCTAAATGAAGAGAGGTTGTAGGGCCAAGAGGATTTCACTCCCTGATTTTGGTCTCACCATAGGTCATCCACAAGCACGACTAATGCAGTTTCCATGCTGTACCCTTGATCTTACTGTCAAGGGTCCAAATAATTTAGTTCCTCTAGGGTTCTAGGATGTGACTGGTCAAATCTATGAATTTCATGGCAGTGTGAGAATTTGAACTTGGATCTCCATAATCCTAATCTAATGCCTGTTTAAGAATGCCTGAAAAAGCAGGTATTCTTTGGGAGCTTTGTTGTGTTGCAGGTATAAGGGACATTTTGTCTTCATTCCTATCCTTTATAATTAACAGCATTATGTTTGAATAAAAAAGAGTAAACTGACACCTAAATGGTGGTATTTTGGAATATTTGGCTGTGGCCAAATAATATTGTCAAATTGACAATAATAATAATTGTCAATTTGAATATCAGTGTTTTAGCTAGTTAGGTGTGGCTAATGTTAGACATTTCTAAGTTGCCTAGAGCCAATAAGGGTAGTGGGAGGCACCTATTATTTTAAAATTAATACGTTTATGGACAATTCAAGAACATAACTTCTTGATTTTAATCATTAATATTAGTATAGAAACAAATATAAATATAAAAAAGAATTAGTGTGCTGAAGTCATTAGCCTACCTTATATATAAGTTGAAACCCCATCCAAGTAGCCACTCCTTACAGTTATTCAAGTTTGGTAATCCAGTGGCATAGCAAGGATGAGCTTGTTGAACAAGATACTGGTAGAATTAGAAAGATCTAGGGCATCGGCCCAGAGTCATTGGGAGTTGGATGGCATATAAATTTAATAAATTATTATTTAACATTTGACCTCCAGCAGAAGAAACAGCTGTCTTCCCTGTTGAGATGTAATGATTGCCATTCTGGCCAAATTTAAAAATAGTAGAATAGCTGAGTACAAGTGTTTGAACTTGTGTGTTTAACTCTTTACCAGCATAGGAACTAGGGAAGGTTCCATCTTTCCCAAGCCTTCTGTTTCTGTTCTTAGATGTCTCCATAACAATACAAATAGTGACAATCTAGTGGAAATCCATTTAAAGATAGACTTAGAACCATTAATTTGACCATTAACTGGGGGTAGCTTAGGAAGAGCACTGGTTAATTAAAATAAGCAGCTGCTTCATGGAGATTCAGCCATAACCCAGTACCAGCTTTCTTATGAGGAGTCACATTTTTATGGTCACTTGAAAGGAGAATTAATTCATTGTCTTATCTATTTCTTCCTAATAATATATATAATAAATTGTTTAGGCCAACAGATAGTAGAGTAAATGTTCCATAAATTTTAAAGCAGTGCAGAAAATAGGAACTTTCAGAGAAAATTGAAATATGTGGCATACTTTAACATCCTTGGTAGATAAACAGTCTTTATTGCTTTATAAAATATATTATGTATAATTTGCTTTTTCTATAAAAGTATTTTTGATATATAAAACTGAGTGGCATTTATTCAGGCAATAATTATATTTTGCTTGAATTTGCTGTGAAATGTGTTTAACTTATTACAAACTGCTAAATTTTAAAGACACTGACATTTCTTCATTTTGGCCTACTTAAGAGAAGCAGGAAGACAAATTAACATTAAAAACAAAAACCAACATTACAGTAAAATAAATAAAGCAGTCTATTCTGGATTATGACTTTCTATTTCAAGTGATAGCACTAATTCTTAGGGGAAAAAAGGAGGAAAACAAACAAGGCTTAGAGTACACATTATACCACCTGAATCTCATTTTTCTTATTTCCATTAAGTTTGAAAGTTTTCCCTGTGTTGGGATAAACTTCTCAGCCCTTCCACATTTTACTTTATATCTTGATTTAGTATAAGTATTTAGGAACAGATCAGCTTCTTTCACATCTGAACTGTTATGTTTTATTTAAAATATTTTCTTTGTTGAAGTTCTTTTCATCACTGTCCTTCACAAATTTAGAATGAAATACATTTTAGAAGAGCAAGTAAATTTCAAATATGTTAGTGCTGTTTGTGCAACATACAGCCCATTTAGCCACTAACTTAGTCAGATTTTAATGGATCTGAAAGAATGCAACTATGTTATCTGGGCCCAAAGTCATTTTTGGAATGACAGGGTTCTTGCCTATTTTCTTCAGGATGTTTCAGGTATGCTGTAAGTGCTGGCAGTAGGAGAATACCAATTCTTTCCCTATGACTCAGACAGAAAGCAGTGGGAGTGGAAGGAAAAATGGAGAATAAATGGGGGAAAAAAGAAACAAAAAAACAATGCTACTGGTACCTTCTTTCCCACCCTCTTCTATACTGCATCATGCAACATCTGCTTTGTAGTATTCACTTTGCTGATCTCTGCCTGTGTGGCTACAGAGGACAGAAGACAAGTTACTAATGGGAGCACTGAAAAACATCCCATCCTTCTGCCACTCCCCTCAACTTTCAGGGCATTCCTTCCCAACAGTCCCTGAGAAGAAACCCATTCTCAGGCTCCTTAAAAAGAAAACAAATTATTTAAATGAAGCAGAAAAGTACTATTAAAATACTTTAGCAGTCTCAAAAACAAGTTTCACAAGGTAGATGGCAGTCTTGAAGAGGGACATAAGAGGACATTGGATACATACATAAGAGGATGTTGGATTTAGGTTTTTATATTGCACAGTAATCTTGTCCATTACCAAGATAAGCATGTCATCCAAACACAGTTTAGGAAGACACTTATACTTACCTGGCAGGGGAGATACCATGATCACTTGTTTATATTGTATTCTCAAAAGTCCCAAAGTTTTGCTGTTCTCAGAGCAACTATATAATAGGCTAAGCACATCATAAATATATGTTGTATAGTATCTGCTTTTATAAGTCTTTTTCTATTTGATAGGAAGTGAAAGATGATTACGTCTTTGAATGTGAAAGTGGCAATTATTTTCAGAAAACAAAACTGACAATTTTTCAGTCACTTGGAAATCCATTATACTATGGTAAAATACAAACTCTTAAAAATGATGAAGATAATGAAAGTCCAACAACTCTATCACAGTAAGTGGCATTAATCTTTCAGTTTTAGAGAAAAGCATTAATTTTAACTTTAGATAATTTTTTTGCGGATATTAGCTAAAACATCTTTGCATGTTTAGCAGGTAAAGAAAGTCTTCTAAAATGTAGGCTGTCCTTTATTAATGTGCAAATTATTGAAAAAAATAATTTAAGAACTCACAGTGTTTGAACATAATGAAAAATTATAGCTTATGTATGAATACCAATAAAGCATTTCATTAGTTCAATGAGTTTAGGTAACCTTAGTCTCACATATTGCCTCCCAGAATGAAGATTGTTTCCATTTAACTAAACTTAATTAAACTTGTTCTATTGCAGGGGTGGGCATCTTTTTCACCTTGTGGATCACAATAGATTCTGGATCAGAGGCTGTTGCATGCATGCCTATATACCTGCCAGAATTTGCATATATATAGAATCACAGAATTGTGGAATTATAGAGTTGAAAGGGGCCATTTAAATCACCAAGCTCAACTGCCATATCAGTGCTGAAATTGAAATTAAAGCATCCCAGATAGATGTCTGCCTTGAACATATGCATGGAATTGGTTAATTGATTCCATGGTTGAACAGCACTTATTGTTATGACCCTCTATATGCTAGAATTGGAATCTGCTTTCCAGTAATTAAAATCCATTATTCTTAGTCTGGCACTCTGGAACAAGAGACAACAGGTCTTAACCTTCTGCATGATACCCTTCTAGGTAACTTGAAGAATGCTATCATATCCACATCTCAGTAATTTTTTCTGAAGACTAAAAATACCCAACTTCTTCAGCCTCTCTTCATAGATCTTGTTTTTCAGTATACTGATAACTTTTGTTGCCATTTTCTAAACTTTTTCTGTTTGTCTGAAATGTTTTTAAGTGTGGTGTCCAGAACTGGGTACTGTACTTGAGGTTGGGTCTGAGCTAATAGAATACTGGTAGTCCTCATTTAGTGACTGCAGTTGGTTCTGACAACTTGGTCATTAGGCAAAATGGTGGCTAAGTGAACATTGATGGGGAGAGAGAGAGACTGGGAAGATCACTGGTTGCTGCCATCTCATTCAAGTAAGCTTCTCTCCTACATGTCCTGTGCCTAACCCATTTCCCTCCCCTTTTTTTGGCCTCCTTGCAGGGGGAAGAGGTTGCTTAAACAAGCTGTCTCTTCCTGAGCTGCTTTTCTAATTGCAAGTTAACAAGCTCCCTCTGTGATCTTACTTAGTTGATTAGAACCCTCCAGTCCCCTGGCACTGCTGCCTGAAACTGACCAGACTTTAATCAATTTCACACTGAAGGCTTTTGTTGTGAAGCACAAGAAATTTGGTTGTAAATATGTGCGTTGGTTGGAAAACGATTTTTTTTATTGCCATTTAATACCGTTGTATTTGCGAAGTCGCTACCCAAGGCAGTTCCTAAATGAGAACTACCTGTACAGTAAAAAAATTACTTCCTGCTATTTGGAATATACACGTCTGTTTATGCATCTTAAATTGTATTTGCTCTTTTGGCAATCAATCTTATGCTGTATCAAATTTGAAGTAAATTATTTTTTTAATATATTTTTCACAAGTGTCGTTATCAAGCTAGGTATTGCCCATCCTATACCAGTGCATTTGATTTTTATGTCTCAAATGGAGAACTTTGCAGCTACTTCTGTTACATTTTATTCTGTTACTTTCAACCCAATCAAAATAGTTCTGAATTTTACTTTTGTCTTCTGTGGTATTAGCTGTTCTATCCAATATATCTTCAACAACTTTTATGAGCATTTCTTCCACCAAGAGTAGAGAACCCAAATTCAATTCATATGTATTCCACTTGATATGTCTTTCCAGTCTGATGAGCCATTGTTGTTATTCATAGTTGTCATAGTGGAACTATGTTGTCATAGTGGAACACACTTTTTGTTGGATGGAACCAACAAATTAAAATAGTAGCTGAATAAACTCTGCCTTTTCTTTGTTATTTGTTAACTTTTTGCTATCTTCATTGAATGGGTGATAGTACTGATTCTTTTACTTTTATTTTGAACATACATACCTAAGTAAATTCTTTTTGTAATGTTTACCATTCTTTTCTTACCTTAGCTCATTCTCAACTTTCAGTTTCTTGACACTAGCTCTGCAGTTCTGTGTTACCTGTCTTGACTCTTTGTGATCTGGCTTTTTTTCATTTTCAGTTTGTGTCCTTGATTTATTTTCAGATCTTCAGTAATTTTTTAACTGCACTGGCTTCTTCTGCTGTCCTAGATTTTGTTTCCTCATTGGCACTGTTTGCAATTGTACTTTTGGCATTTTTTCCTTTAGGAGCCATCACCCGTCCTGAGATTTTTTTCCCTAGTAGCTTCTTCTGCCATGAGATCCTCTTAATTGCTGTAAATTTATTAACTTCCAAGATACATATTTAGTAATGCTCAGTTTTAGTTTCCCTTAAAATCAAGAACTCGAGCATTATGTGGCCACTTTTCAACAGTATTTTTGCTACATGCAACTGTGTTTTTTGATTGCAGTACCCACTCTTGCACACACTGTACATTTGTTCTCTGGTCCCGTCTTCCAGTGATCTTCTTCAACGTCACTGGGAAGAAGAGAGGATTTCCCTCACTTTCCTCCATCCTATTTGGCAGATGAGTGTTTTTTTGTTAGGAAGCCAGCAATTTGGTTTCTAGTTGTTCTTCCAGTTTGAGCAGGGATTTTTAGAGGGGATAAAATGTTATCCCCCTCTCTCCTGATAATCTGTTCTTGCTGGCTGATAGGGAAAAAAATGTTCTTCATTGCTTTGCTGGCCTCACTCTGCAGCTGGAGATTGTGCAAACTATGGATTGCCCACCCCTGGTTTACTGAAACCTAAATCAAAGTTTGAAGTTGGAATTTTTTAATAATATTGTCTGTTGTCCAAATTCATTCTTGCAGCAATAAACCATAAATTATCATTACAGCTGAATCCAGTCCCTAAGATTATGAATTCAAAGTTGGCCAGGCAATCTGATGGTCGGATAAAAGTCTGATTTGGTCAAATGTTTAAAGCTCAATATTTTGCTATCAGCCTATACCGTGGGGCAAAAAAGTATTTAGTCAGCCACCAATTGTGCCAGTTCTCCCACTTAAAAAGATGAGAGAGGCCTGTAATTTTCATCATAGGTATACCTCAACTATGAGAGACAAAATGGGGGGAAAAATCCAGAAAATCACATTGTCTGATGTGGTCTTGTATGTCTTCCATTTTCTAATGATTGCTCCCACAGTTGATGTGGTCTTGTATGTCTTCCATTTTCTAATGATTGCTCCCACAGTTGATGTGGTCTTGTATGTCTTCCATTTTCTAATGATTGCTCCCACAGTTGATGTGGTCTTGTATGTCTTCCATTTTCTAATGATTGCTCCCACAGTTGATGTGGTCTTGTATGTCTTCCATTTTCTAATGATTGCTCCCACAGTTGATGTGGTCTTGTATGTCTTCCATTTTCTAATGATTGCTCCCACAGTTGATTTCTTCACACCAAGCTGCTTGCCTATTGCAGATTCAGTCTTCCCAGCCTGGTACAGGTCTACAATTTTGTTTCTGGTGTCCTCTGACAGCTCTTTGGTCTTGGCCCTAGTGGAGTTTGGAGTGTGACTGTTTGAGGTTGTGAACAGGTGTCTTTTATACTGATTCAGTGGTCTTGTATGTCTTCCATTTTCTAATGATTGCTCCCACAGTTGATTTCTTCACACCAAGCTGCTTGCCTATTGCAGATTCAGTCTTCCCAGCCTGGTACAGGTCTACAATTTTGTTTCTGGTGTCCTCTGACAGCTCTTTGGTCTTGGCCCTAGTGGAGTTTGGAGTGTGACTGTTTGAGGTTGTGAACAGGTGTCTTTTATACTGATAACAAGGTCAAACAGGTGCCATTACTACAGGTAACGAGTGGAGGACAGAGGAGCCTCTTAAAGAAGTAGTTACAGGTCTGTGAGAGCCAGACATCTTGCTTGTTTGTAGGTGACCAAATACTTATTTTCCACCATGATTTGCAAATAAATTCTTTAAAAATCAGACAATGTGATTTTCTGGATTTTTTCCCCCATTTTGTCTCTCATAGTTGAGGTATACCTATGATGAAAATTACAGGCCTCTCTCATCTTTTTAAGTGGGAGAACTTGCACAATTGGTGGCTGACTAAATACTTTTTTGCCCCACTGTATGGAATTTCGATGACACATAATAAACTTGATGGCTATATCTACTATGATTTCTAAAAATATCCACTGTATATATTCTGAAAATTGCAGCTGTATTTTTATGAGAGAGAGACAGTTATCTGGCAAACTCTTCTTCAGCCCTCCTTCTATACTTCCACCTTTTGGAAGAACAGGAATTTTTCATACATCAGTGCTATGTATGTTCAGTTGAAAAGGCAGGGCTCAATAAATGAAGTCAGGAAGGATGGTGTATAGCAGAATAAGTTCAGAAGGAGTAGTAGAGGTGTCAATGGATTGATTTGGGAAATATTTGTTTGGCGAAAGTGACTTAAGGAGTGGGGTGGCTGTCATACAGGTTCTTTGGCATAAAAGTGTAGCTAGAATCCTGGTGAATCAGACCACATTTAGTCCAGCATCCTTTGCCAACAGTGAAAGGATGAAATATCTCTAAACCCTGCAAGTACATGCACTGTTGATGCTTTCTAATATTAGATGTTGCAAAATAGTCTTGTTCTGAATATGGAGGATATATTTATCTGGGATAGCCAGTATCCATTTATTACGTTTATACTCCTTTCCTTCTCCAAAGAATGAAAGGTAGTGATCTTTCTTGTAATTTCTCCCCTTCCTTCCCATTGTGAAATAATTTAGTTTGAGAGAAGGAATTAGCCAGTGAGCCATCTGAGATAAGATACTACTTGAAGTTGGGTTTCCCACTGTTAAGCAAACACCATGTATGTTCAGCTCAGTTGATCTGGCAGGTATAATCTATACTGTATACTTACCTTGTCTTTAATTAGTATATTATGTTGTTTACAGTTTTCTTATTGGCTCAAAGTCAGAAGCAGAAAGGTAAGTACCTGATCACTGTTTGCATGATTCTACAGGTAGCTAGGTTTTTGCTCTTGCAAAAACTCCCCAGATTGGCCTCATATATCTTTTGTCCTTTCCCTTGGAAATGAAGTCTATCCTGAAACTTGAGGTCTTGTGTAGTGGGAATATACCTGACCCATCAAATCAATACATTTTCAGAATTGGATAGTGTGTCTCTTGTGTTTTGCTCTGGAATTAGCACTCATTTTTAGTGTGGGGGTGAAAGGTTAGGATGTTATTCAGACTGGTTTTATTCTGTGTGGCACAGAATGTTTTGCAGAAAAATTAGCAAAATAACTGAAATAAAGTTCTAAAAGATAGGTATAACTTTTTATATTTATTGATTAAATTGCACACTCTGTATTTCGAACTGCCCATTACTCCCTTGGTTACTTTCATTTGTTACCCATGCTCTTCTTGTCATTATATAATAACAACATAGGTACTATTTTTGGACTCCTAAACTCAGAATAGAGAAATCTGCTGAATTAGATTTCTTTCTAAAATATGATTGTGTAGAAAAGTAGAATATCTTCCACAGAGAATACTTTTAGTAAGCATTGTATCTAAAATACACTGTTTTAATTCAGTCCCTTGATTTATGAATGAGTAGTAATAAATAGCCAATGGAAATTCACAAATAAGCAGGTCTCTGTAATTGTTCAGTATCTGGATAGATTCACATGCCCTTAGAAATTCTGCGATTTCACGAAAGTCTTTTTTAATCTCATGTTACAGAGTAGTCAATCAGTACCAGGAGCTGGTTCAAAATGAAGCTAAATGTCCTGTGAAGATTTTTCATAACTCAAGTGGATCAATCCATCTCAGTCAACTTTCTCCTGGAAAGGAAATAGAAGTAAGTTAATTCCAGATATTAGAGGATAGTTTTGCACCCTTAAAAATATTTCACTTTCATTTAAGTCCTGTCTAAAAAACATACAAATTCACTTTCTCTTAGTGACTTAATTACTTGACTTTTGCCTATTTATTCCTTAGATGTGTTGCATTATTATAATCTGGTACTAGTATGTAACAAAGTACGTACTCTATGTTATCATTTGCTTTCATGGGATACAAAAAGTTGACATTATTGTTTATTTTAGCTCTCCTTCAAGTGGAGAGAAGCAAAATGAAAGCAGGGGCATGTGCATCAGCCTGAAGGTCATTCACAATAAGCCAGAATTTTCCAGAATTCTTAATTATTGTGATGTGCAGATATAGTCAATGCTTTTTGTGTTGCCTAGAAAAGACATCAAGAAAATGTTTGTCTGTTGGTCATAGATCTTTGAGGTCAGTTATTTGGAATATGCTGAATTCTCCGACTTGGATCAGTACCTCACATTCTCAGACCTCAGCTTTCAAAACTTGGCAAAGGAAAAAGTCTCCCTAGTTTGCAAAAGGCATCTTGAATCTGGCATAGTTAAAAGAAACAAAGCTACATGATTCCCCTCTTTTTCTCAGCTGCCCATTGTTATACAACAGCTGATTACAGCACCTGTTGGGAGTTTCCCTGGCTGCAGAAACTAGATTTAAGTCAGTAATCTGGCACTAGAATTGAAAGCTCAAAGGATTTTAGACTACTGAGGGTGAGAGCTTGAGGAGAAACATTTGTAAAGTTGAGATTGGAGTTTACTTTCCTTCAGAAATTAAGCCTTTTTCCTAATCTTTTATACTGTATGTACCTTAACAAACAAAACATTTGCAGATATGAATATCACCTTCGTTGACAGAAAAAAAAAGAAAAATATTCATCTGGAAAAGAAAAATAAGTGATGGGAAAATAGTGAAGATATCTGACACTCTAGGTGCTAAACTTAACTGAAACAATTGGGATAGATTTAAAGATGAAAAGACAAGAGCTGGGTGGATTCTTTCTTTTAGCAACTTCAGAAAACAAGTTCAATTTTTAATAAAAATGATAATATGACAGCCTATATCATAACCCATTTAATATCATCAGTCTTTGTTAAATGCTTCAGAATTGAATTATGTAGAATTAAGCTTTTAAAAAGTATTCTGGTAGATCACTTTGTGGCTGTATGGAACTGAATTACCTTCTAGGCTCTGGGCCCAAAGTTTATATGATTATAAACATATAGGATGAAAGTGTTGACAATGTAGAGACAATATGTTTCTTGGTTTGACTGGTTTGATAAAAATAACTTATTTAGGTAAAGCGACCTCTCTTTAGAAATACAATAAATGACTGAGGAAAACTCTTTCTACTAGTAGTGTTTATGTGAACCCCACCCCTGAGAGAATGCAGATACAGTGATTTTGACTGGAATGTCAGTTTCCTTATTTGTTTGTTAGTATTATCTCAGTGTAGTCAGAAGAACATTTCTCCTGACTCCAAGGGACTTTCTGAAGGATATTGAAGTTTCATGTGTATGGCAACGTAGTTGTGGTTTGTGTATGCTTGCTTTTAGCAACCTGAGGCTGTGTCAGGTTATATTCAGTCTTCAGTGTTGGGGAAAGGTGTGAAACACAGACCACCTCCCATCAAGCTACCTTCAAGTTCAGCAAGCAGTTCTTCAGGTAAATACCTTTTCAAAGCACTTTCCTTTATGTTGAGAAGACATTTGTGGAATAAGTTGTACTTTACTTGCTTAGGATTTGTTACTGAATCTCTTGGGGAATGTGAACATATATTTATAGTCTTATTGATAGGAAAAGTGTGGGCAACTACAAGCAAATTACTCAGAGCACCTTCCCCATGCATAATAAAGTGCCTCCTGTCAATCACCTGATAGATAAGCAGACTGGAAGCTGGGAAAATAGCGCTCTATAGCAGCCTGCCAGAGAGCTGTTTGGTGAGCTGTTTGGAGACAGTTTCCCACAGTGGCAAGGTTGCTTGGAGGGAGGGGTAAAAGCTATACTCAGTTTCCTTCCAGGAGTCTCCCAGGAACAGACAAACTACAATCTAGAGAAGTCACTTATGTTCCAAACAAATACAAAAAAGTGAGCTGGTCTGCATCCTTTTTTGTAGGTAAATATTTGACTGCATAACTAATATGTACTGTAGCAAAACTGGGGGAACAGCTTTAGAAAATGAAATACTCTTTCTGATGTTGGTTCACAGAACATCACATCTATTAATTATGCTTTTCAGGTAATATTTTTAGTCCACAGCAGTCAAGCAGTCATCTCAAATCCCCAACTCCTCCTCCTCCTCCTGCTCTTCCTCCTCCTAAGCCTCCCTGTGTGTCCCGGAAGCAATCTCTGGATCTGAATCAATTGAGCATGCTTTCTTCAGCTTCTGTGTCTCCTGCAAGTGCTTCACAAAGTGAGTCCCGCCCTAAATTCTCCATTAAATCTTCATAGGCTTCTCATGGTAAACTTTCTAACCAACTGTTGTGGAGAAACTAAATATCATGTGTCCTAAATTGTGTATAATTGTGCAGCACAAGGCAGGCCTCTTGTTCACTGTATGTACTTTGTTTGCTGTAACTGTATTTGGTTCTTCTGTATAATTATATATGTATGCACCCTCTGTGTATACGTTTTGATTCATTTTATGCAACCAACATAGGTCTTTCTTTCATACAGCCTGATAATTAATGTGATCATAGAAGTTTCCAAAGTACATATCTTTTCACTAATATGTTAATAGTGGCTCATTAAGACCAATTTTCAATTGCATATTTTAAGCAACTAAAACTTCTTGAATGTCATCAATTGTGGTGCAGTTGTATCTCTGTGTATGTATATAACATGATCAAGTCCCAACCTGGTAATACAATAAAGTTTATAAACTGATTTTTTAAAGCACTCCTATACTGTTTTGCAAATCATTGCTGATGACAAAAGTATAAGAATAGTTTCAGGATAATAATGCCATTTCTTAAATGTCTTCTGAGCTAATTGAAAGCTGGTTTGGATTTTTCAGCAGCATCAGTATTCTAAGTCTGTTAGTATTCTTGTTAATAAAAATAACAACTGAGGGTTTTAAACCACCCTTTGAAATATTTAAATAGATGTATGGGAGGTGGGAAAGGATCCCTTAGAGTATGTTTTAGACAGTTGTCTATTCAGTTCTTTGTCTGCTGCATAATGTAGTTCTTGTGTGTTGCATAATCTAAAATTGGGAGGCTCAATAGATGTCATTTTAATGCCTTCCTGTTTTGCACAAAGAAACCTATAAGGAAGCTTTAATAAATTTTCCAATGATTTGATTCACATAATCCTCACCCCACTCCTTTTCTGTTGCTGGGAAATCCCAGGGATTAGACTGGAAGTCAAAAAAGTTTCCTGGAAGAAGGCAATGTCAAGAAAATTACATGGACATGTCCATGTAATCACCAGGAACCAAAATCAACTTGTGGGGGACTTTGTTTTTTTCTGAATGTAAAAGTGCTGTTGTATACTTTGCTCACAGCTTGTAGACATTCACATTTCTTTCCTTTCTTTCTGCAAGACATGAAAGCTTAAAAAAACAACAAAATTAAAACATCTTAAGCACTTTTGGGTTGTCTTAATTCCATTGATATTATTGCTTCATGCCAATTTTAAATTTTAAATGCAAACATTGCTTGTTGCTTTCTTTCTGTCTGCAAGTTAAGCAAACCAGTTATGGATAATTATTTGTAGTTTCTTTTTCACTGTCCAGATTTTTGCTCAAGCTGCTTTTTTTAATGTTACGGTATTGTGCAGAAGATTTACATGTTGCAATGTTAGATGATTTGTTTATAGCATTTATTTTAAATGCTTTATTTAAATAAATTACTGAAATTGACATGAGACAGTTAGTAGCAGAGAGGTGATGTAAATGTGTCAACAATGTTAGAATGATTTAAAGAAATAAATAGAACTGGAGTTGCAGATTAAGTATAGTGATATTTCCATGCCATATGCTTCATTCATCAGAAACGGCAATTATTAACACAGTTTGCTGGGCTGGTGGTGGTGTTTTAAAGTGGAGTAAACTATCAGAGCTAAGTAAGATTCCACTAACCTTAGTTTTAAAAAACAACTGGCCTTTTATAACAAACTAGTGCTTTTTATTTTTCTCAATGAGCAGGGTCTGGAACTCCTAAGCCATCTACTCCTACTCCAACCAACACCCTTTCATCGACCCCACACCCTGCTGATGCTCAGAGCTCAACTCTGATTACCCATTCTGCTACCCTTACTCCCCAAGATTCAGGCTTCACCCCTCAGCCCACTTTGTTAACCCCGTTTGCTCAGCAGCAAATGTCTCTGAGCCAGGCACTGCCTGTAATGACCATTCCTCTTTCCACCATGGTAACTTCCGTTACTACAGGAACATCCTCCAACCAGGTCATGACAAACACTGCAGGACTTAATTTCATCAATGTAGTGGGCTCTGTGTGGTAAGTTGGTTATTTTATAGTTTATAGTTACTTTCCACCCTTAATTATGTTGCTGTGAGCCCATTGATGAGTGATGAACTTGAGATGGGTTAACTGATTAGATAATTAAATATATTTTTGTGCATTTATTTCATTCCACGTTCTTAAACATTAGCTGATAATCATAATTATGTAGACCTGATACAAAAAGTAAATCTTTAGCGTAAGTTTTAGAAAGCTGGTTTAGATTATTTATTGTTTTTTATTATTTCTTTTATTATTTTTATGTTATTATTTTACTGCTTATTTATTAATTTATTATTTCTCAGGGTGGTGACCATAAAGTAAAGCAGTATTCTGTCTTCCATTCTTATCATCATTGGAAGATGGTATCTGTTCATTCCTTGAGCAGTCTTCACATGTTATGCCCATTAGATGTCCTCTATGGATTTGGGTTGGGATATGAGGCATTATAGATATGAATAGATTTTATTCAAATGAAGCAAAAGATTTGGTAGTGACTTGAATAGTAAAACTGCTCCTGCATATTATTTCATGCCAAGTTAGTCTAATATTTGCCTATTCCTTTTGTACAGTGGAACACAAACATTAATGAGTGGTTCAAATCCCATGTTGGGGGGTAATACTGGTGCAGTCACCCCTGCAGGTATAAACCTGAGTAATATTTTACCATCAGGAAATCTGGTGCCAAATGCACTGCCTGCTGCAATGCAGCCTGCCTCTCAGCCAGGTCAGTATGAAAATCAGATATACTATAATGGGATGATGATGATGATGATGATGATGATGATGATGATGATGATGATGATGCCTATTGAAAGGAAAACTTGGGGAAATAATCAATAATGTTACTGATTAACTAACTAGTAAATTGCATAGTATTCAGTGATAGGCATTTTGGACTTGATTTACAAGTAATACCATCTTAACTATTGCCCTAGTTGGCAATCCTCTAGAGTTTTATTAAGTTTTGTAAGCATATGCGACTGAATTTTCTAACTCTGACATAAACACACACACACACATGCACATACACACAAATTCTAGGATCCATTCTGTAAGATAGTGTAGCTTGTGGGAGCTTTACTCTCTTTCCTCAATCCTCTGTTGATGTTTGGGAGCAACCATTTTTTATGGTGGCACCAATCTTCCAAATAACTTGCTTTTATCAGTTTTAAGATTAAAATTATCTTATTTGTGTAAGCATTTTAATTTGCTACATTGGTTTGATAATTTTAGCAGTTTGGGGTATTTTTTTGTGCTTTCAATTTGTGGTCTATTTTTAATCTTTTTTATGTGCATTGTACTTAGGATTTGTAAGCATTGTCAATTATTCTTGTGAAGCAGTATAAATTTATTAAACTAACTCTGATCTGCATCACATATATGCCTTCCTCTACCCTGACTTGGCAGTTCAGAAGAACTACAGTACTCTAAAAGCTTGAACCTATGCTGGGATTCAAGAATTAAGGTGTTTTAATTTAGTTCACTGAAACCAGATATATTGTACAGTTTCAAATGAACTCTACATTTAGCTGAGCTTTAAGATCAGAATATTTCAGTATTTAAAACTCATAGATTTTTTCTTATTCCACTAGAACAGGTATTTTGGAAAAAATATCTGTTTCTCTTGAAACGGCCAAAATAGCTTTTGTCAATATTAATGCTTAGCTATGCTGTTCACTTCCACTTTAGATGTAATGTAGAGGGTGGGGAAAAAAGCACAATATGTTCTTACCAAAATTAATCTCAGCAGGTGGCCCTTTTGGTTTAAAAAATGCTCCAGGCCTTCGCCCATTGAATCTTCTACAGGTATGATGATACACTGAGGACTGTTTTTCTGTATGATTTCTCAAGATGTGTGAGTGGGGAAATTAGATGGAAATACAAGTATTTTAATATCCTTTGATTAATTAGTAAAGCATATTATCCTGTTGAAAATATGGAAGGATATATGTCTCTCTTGACATGAGGTTGGAAAAGTAATGTGAAAATAAAAGAGAGGAAATTTTCATCACCAAACTTTGAGGCAAGGACATTGTGGACCTGGAAAGCCAATTCTTTATTTAAAATCTGCAAAAATATGCGGATTTTGCAGTAGCTGGGGTTAGGGGAAGCTCCCTCTTTTCAGCTATCTCTTCTTCTCCCACTGCCCCTGTTGTTATTATTTATTTATTTATTTAAATTTATTGGCTGCCCAACTCCAGTGGACTCTAATGTTGGGATTCTCATTGAGTTATCCATGCCTTCATTACATCCTGACTTGATAAGTACATTGCCCTCTATGTGGGCCTACCTTTGAAATGTGTCTAGAAGCATACTTAAGTATATAGCTGATAATTTGTACACAATGTTGGCAGTGCTTTTAATCTTTAAAATGGCTTGGAGTTTAATTATTGGATGGACTGTCTAACTCAATACTATTTTATTTGGACATTGAGGTCATGAGGAGAGGGCTCTTAAAATTTCCTTACTTTCTGAGATACAACTTTGGGCACATGGAGAAGGTCTTCTCCTGTATTGCTCCTAAGCTATGACATGCAGTCCCTTCAGAGCTGCACTCAGACTTAACTCTTTCTGCTTTCAGAAAATATGGAAAGACTTTCCTCTTCTGCTGTGTCTTTTCAGGTTGAGTTAAATAATGACTTTAACTGCTTTTATAAAATTGTGTTTGCTACTGTTAGTGCTCTGTAAACAAAAAGGTGAAACTTAATTAAGTACTGCTATTTCAGAAAGAAAAGTGGATGAGGTAGTTGTATGAGAAATCCAACAAACTAGCTAAAACACTCTGCTCAGCACTTGCTCAACTGCACCTCTTATTCCTTCTTCCAGCTGTTTAAAAGATTCCAGGCTTTGGTCTATTCTAAAGTAAACACATGATTTTTACTTAATGGGGTATAGAATTAGTTGATGTAGGTGATATGAATTCTGTGTGTATGTATGTTTATGATTGTATAAAGTTTCTTGCTGCAGAAAACGCTTTGGTCACTTTGATTTGGGCTTGCTTAGTGTGAATTTGCTCAATATAAAGTACAGTCCCCCCCAATGTTCTTGAAGTGGGAAGGAGCTAAGGGTACTGGGTTGTTCACAAATATGAATTCTAAATTAATTCTATACATTTGTGTGCATCACAGAAAAATTATGCAACTCTACAACACCTAATATCTCTTTAAACTTGAACAGCTTCCAGGTGGCTCACTGATATTCAACCCTCTCCAGCAGCAGCAGCAGCAGCAGCAGCAGCTCTCCCAATTTTCATCTCAGCAGCCTACAACTTCTAGTCCTCAACCACAGGGAGATCAGGTAGGCATACTCATTAAAATAATATAATAAAAAAAATAAGCCCTGTGTAGATCTCAACATGACTCCTTTAAGTTATGCTGATGATATCACTGGACAGCTAGTCTCCACAATACAGTGCAATTGTCCTCAAAGGAAAGCTGTTGTGTACACATGAAAGTTTCTGTATGGGCTGGAATCCTGATAATGCAGTTTCAGTTCTCAGGGAATCTTTTGCCTGCCACAGGGAGCCTTCCTGTATGTGCAATCATATTGTATCCTTGGACAACCAGCTGTTTTTCTGATATACTGATATCACAACATTTCACAGAGGGAAGGGCTGCTCAACACTATTCTTATGCTTAGTTCTGCATGCAAATGCGAATCTGCATGTTAAATAAATCTGAATAGGTTAGCAAGTATGTGGAAACCATCTTGTAGTTTGCCTTACAGTGGCTGGCTGACATTTTTGTGCTTCCCACTGGTTAGCCAGTGGGAGTTCCAGCCAAATTAATGGGAGAATGAAATGCAGGACACTTGCAAAATGGTAAATAACTGCTGAAGAGAGTTTGAGGAGCAATCTTGGTGGCTATGTGGAAATGCTCTGGATCAACTTTTTATCTTTACAGCAGTGGTTATTATTACTCTGTAATATAATTATAGAGAGGTGCATATAAACAGGATTTGAAATAACCACTGCTATTCTCCCATTAATTTGGCTGGAACTCCCACTGGCTAACCAGTGGGAAGCACAAACATGTCAGCCAGCCACCTCCCTGCTTCTGTGGCCATTTGTCTCTCACTCTGCTTTTCTGGCAAAAGGCAAAAATCTCAAGTAGCTACTGTGAGTGGGGTGGGGAGCAGCAAAACCACATTTGGAGCAACTGAGAAAGATAATGGCAAGGTGCCATGACATGGTAATCAATAGAAGGTTGTATAATGCTAGGCACCTGACAGAAATAATCACTTGGATTCGCTTTATGTTAGGCTGAGGCCTTGAAGCAGGGCCAGTAAGGTCATGAGGGCTGGGTCTTGCATGATTATTTGGGAAGAGTTTGACCTTGTTGGGTCTGAGGAAGTGGACAGGATGCTTGTGGCTGTCAGTTCAGCCACCTCTGTGTAAGATTCCCTCCTGGCTGGTTAAGGCTGCCCAGGACAGGACATATGATCAGATTTGGGCAGGGGTTAATTCCTCCTTGAGGGAGTGGATAGTCCTGACAGCTTTTAAGGAGCAGTGTGATCTGCTCCCTCCTCAAGGGGCCCATTGCTCAACCCATCTAGTCTGGACAACTTTTGTCCAGCTTCCAATCTTCCCTTTTTAGGGAAGGTTGTAGAGAAGGTGGTTGTACTGCAACTTCACTGCAACTTTCTTCTTCTGGAAGAAACAGATTGTCTGGACCCCTTTCAGTCAGGTTTCAGGCCAGGGTATGAGACTGGGATGGCACTGATCAAACTCTTGGCTGACTTCTGGTGGGAGCAAGATGGAGGTAGTGCATCCATCCTGGTTATTCTTTTTTTTTTTTTTTTATAAATTTTTTATTTTTTACAACAAACACAAACAAACAATAACAT